CGAAACAATCAATACATGAATATGCACACCTTAAATTCAACTGATTTTTAACTAATTATAAATCGACAATAACACATGCATTATGATTTTGTGAAATGACCCTTTGGTGTACAAAACCATTTTTTTAAAGAAACTAAGTTAATTATCACTTTGTACTGTTCTGCAATTTAGGAGAGCTTAAAGACATTTGGTATTTTACAATTTATTTTACTTGGAAGAATCTCCTACATAACGATAAAGAAAAACCATAGACGAAAACATGAATATCAAGAGGGCACATTTTCAGATCCATTATGGCAGGAACTCATCTTTTAAAAGGTATTACTAAGCAGAAGGCAAACACTTTAGAGTCTAGCTATAAAACGGAACAAAAGTCCTGTCAAGTGTATGGGATGCATATTAGATATACTATTTTTTAACTGAAATATTTGTGAACACTTCAGATTGGTTCAGTGGTAGTATTTCATGGTGTAAATTACACCTAGGATAGCAAAAGGATACTCAAAGTACTTAAAGTGGAACTAAACCATATCTGAGCACCACAAACTGAAAACACTATTTAATTCATTTTTAATATACAAAACAAACTCACCCATCCATCCATGTCTCCATGATTTATTTTTTTGAGAAATCACCACCCTAAAATTTCTAGCAGCTGATTCATGTAGTTTTTACTTTCTGGAATCTACCTGCCCTTAGGACAGGCATGCAAGCAGGAGGATGTGCTTAGCTGAAAAAGTCCCTCCCCCTACTTCCAGATAAAAGAAAAAAATACCCATTAAGACTCATGGGATGTATGACTTAATTTTGTCCTAGGCCAGAAACCAGGAAGCAAATAAAAAAAAGTTTAAAACAGGTAAATATAATATACCTTCCAATCTTTACTAATGCTAGCATCTTTTAGGCCAACACTACTCAAGAATGCTGGTATTTATTCAGTGAAATGCATCTGGTTTCTGATAATCCTTGCTTTTACAATGGATTTCTGAATTTGGAGAATAGTGGGTTCCTAACAAGTTTTCCTTTTTTTTAATTCTTTGAGCAGAAAACCTCTTTAATGTAATTAATCAGTGCTCTTTTATAGACTTTTCTTCCTAATTAGTAGAAGTATGACTCATCTGTGCTTTACTGTTTCCATTTCTCAATGTTAGTCTACTACACTTCTCATATTGGTTGAGCACAATGCATTCTCTTATCTGCTAAGCCTAGCACACTGTCTCTGTCTCTCTGTGTACACACACTCAAACATCTACAACTGCCACCATATACAGTGCTCAGCATAAATGAGTACACCCCTTTTGAAAAGTAAGATTTTAATCAATATCTCAATGAACACAAGAACAGTTTCCACAATTTTGACAAAACTGAGTTTTATAGAACATTTGCTTAGCTCAATACATGAAAGTAAGGTTAATAATATAACTTAGATTACAAAATCTTCAGTTTTACTCAAATTAGTTGATGTAAAAATGAATACACCCCACAACAAAAGCTACTACAGCTAGTGTTTTGTATGACCCCCATGATTTGTAAGGACAACACCAAGTCTTCTAGGCATGGAATGAACAAGTTGGCGACATATTGCAACATCTTTTTCCATTCTTCAAGAACGACCACTTTTAGAGCCAGGATGCTGGATAGAGAGTGATGCTCAACGTATCTCTTCAGAATTCCCCACTGGCATTTGATTGGGTTCAGATCAGGAGACATACTTGGCCACCTAATTACTTTCACCCTATTTTTCTTCAGAAATGCAACAGAGGCCTTAGGTGTGTGTTTGGATCATTGTTATGTTGGAAAAGGGCACAACGACCAAGGGCACGGAGTGATGGTAGCATATTCTCTTTCAATACAGAGCAGTACATCTATGAATTCATGATACCATCAACGAAATGCAGCTCCCCGACACCAGCAGCACTACTGCCACCACCATGTTTCACTGTAGGCACCATGCATTTTTCTTTGTGCTCCTCACCTTTACGACACCATACATTTGTGAAGCCATCACTTCTAAAAACATTTATCTTGGTCTCATCACTCCACAGAGTACATAGTCCCAGTAGTCTTCTTCTTTTTCAGCATGGGCCCTGGCAAATTTTAGCCAGGCTTTTTTTGTGCAAGGGTTTTAGGCGAGGCTTCCTTCATGGACAACACCCATGCATGCCATTCCTCTGCGGTGTACGCCATATTTCACGGGAAACAATCACCTCAGTTTGGCTTTCTACTTCTTTAGCTAACTGTAGTGAACTAGCAACCCTTCTCATCAGAAGATACTCATGTTGAGATGTTAACTTCCGTCGATGGCCTGAACGTCTCTGTGAGATGGTTGCAGTTCCATCTTTGTAGAATTGTATCACTTTTGCTACAGTATTCTGACTGATGTTCTTGTAGCCTTCACCTTCATTTTATAAATAAATTATTTTCTTTCTCAGGCCTTGTGACATTTCTATTCCATGTGGTGCCATTGCTGGCATGGGAAGGGGTTTTCTTTGTTAAGTAGCGCCCTGTTATAATCAACTGTCTGCTGGACACCTGTTTAATGAATAATTAGATTCACCTGTAGGTGAAATCTTGTTAATTAGGATTTTGTTGTCTAAAATTTAACTTTGCTCCTAAGACTTCCATTGGTGTGTATTCGTTTTTGCAACATAGTCTTGAATGAATTTGTTTGGAAAAATACTTTTTGTGTGTGTGCAAATTAACAAACTTGTTTGCAATCAATGGCAAGTATTTTGTAGTATAATGTCCCATAGAAAATATTGATTCTGAAAAGAAAGTAAATTTTTTCTCACCAATCTGTTGGGGGTTGTGGTGTACTCATTTATGCTGAGCACTGTGTATATATATATATATTATATATATATATATAGTATGTCTATTGTGAGGCACTGACTGGCAGAATAAATCCTCAAGATTTATAAAATATGCATGGTGATGAACTCCAGGGTTGTTAGTTGACCCATGTTAATGTGGATAATGTGGAAACCCAGGTTAACCACCTCCCGTCCGGCCGTTGTATATAAACGGTGGCAGTGCAGGGCATCCCTGCCCCCTGCATGTGCAATCTCCCTGGGAGCGCGCAGCACCGCGATCCGGTGCCCGGTGTGTCCTCCGGACACAGTGGAACACCGATCGTCGTATGGGACCTCTGTGCGAGGTCCCGATCATGTGATCACTGATTGGCCAATCAGTGATCACATGCAGAGCAGTAAGCAAGATGTCACTTCTGACATCATTGCTTACTACCTGTGAAATCTGTGAATGATCACAAAGGTCACATGGTACAAGGCTATTCACACAGTATTTCTCAATGGCTGCAAGAGAGAAGGAGAAATTATTGCTTTTACAGCCTTTATGGGTGTAAAAGCAATTAGTGTAAAGAAAAAAAAAAAAAAAAATCTTCATCACCCCCCACAAGTAGTACAGTGTCACCATGGTGACACTGTGTTGCTAGGGTGACAGTATGTAAAAAAAAAAAACATAAAGAATAATATAAAAAAATAAATAAAAATGTAAAAAATTTTTTTTAGAAATTATAATTTTTGGTTATAAACTAATTTGGGTTATTTTTTTTAAACTAAAAAGATAACTGAATAAATTTTGGCCAATATTTATGATGAAATATTATTTATTTGCAACAGTTTTTAAGAAAAACACTTTTTTTCAAAATATTTGGACATGTTCATTTATATAGCAAAAAAAATTAAAATCCTAGTGGTGAATAAATACCACCAAAATAAAGCTTTATCTGTCTCAAAAAAATTGCTAAAAAATTCATATGGGTACAGTGTTGCATAACCGCGCAATTGTCATTCAAAGTGTGATAGCGCAGAAAGCTGAAAATTGGCCTGGACAGGAAGGGGGAAAAAGTGTCCGGACATGAAGTGGTTAGTGTGGATAAAACAAACATTTTGTTTTATCGGGCTCCTAAAAAGTTCTCTTCAGGTACCTGGAGCCCTTGTAGAGCTTTGGGTGGGATAAAACCTCGATTCTTAGGTCTAGATCTTAACTGGTAGCCAGAACTCATTACTAGTCCTAGCTGCCTACATGCCTTTATATTTAGAAGATAATCTCTCCCATGTTTTTTGCTGAAGAAACCTTCCGCTGTGTGAAAAAGTACAGGTACAAGTGCTACTGTTAGCGTTGGGGAGTCCATTAGGGGACACCCTGTTAGAAACCCACCTGAGTTTAGTTAGTGGTTTGGATGTGCAGATGTTTTGTTTTATGCTCTGGACTTCCTGCACAAAGCCCTCCAAAATTCAAACTGGCTTGTTTGCTCCATTGCTGAATATAGTTGCAGGAAAAGCTGCTTGGACTGGTTCTCGGTGCCTCGCTCTCATACATGGTTTATTGCTGTCAACACCAGTTGAGCCTATCCCCCATATAACTCAGTGCTTGGACTTGGTAAGCAATTTAATGAGACAAACTCCTATTGTGGAACAAAGTGGAGGAGCTTGTAAAATGGCCCCTTTTAGCAAATGTTAAACAGGAAGAAGTGAACAACTAATTCACCAGATGCAACAACTGACTATAGCCCACCAGGACCCTTCAAAAGGTCAGTAGCAGTTGAAAAAGTCCCTACAGCAGCAGGTACAGGCCCTGTTATTGAGGCATATGCTGGTGAGGGAGCTGTGTTGCTATTTTAGTGATTATTTTTTTAATAGCTTAATTAGGGCTTAAAATTTCAAGTCCTGAGCTACTAGCCAGGCCTTAGAGTTACTCGCCACCAACAAACACACAAAAAACAGAGGCACCTGTACACACACATAGACATGTACATACACACACACACACACACAGAAACATGTACACACACGCATAGAGACACATGTACACACACTCACATACAGACAAATGTATACACACACAGGCACCTACAGACATGTACATACACACACAGAAACATGTACACACACGCATAGAGACACATGTACACACACTCACATACAGACAAATGTATACGCACACAGGCACGTACAGACATGCATACACACAGATACATGTACATACACAGAAATACACATGCATAAACACATGTACATACATACACAGACACATGTACATACATACACAGACACATGTACACACAGACACATGTACGTACATATACACAAACACACAGATGTACATGCACACACACACAGACACGTACACTCAGACATACATGTACATACACGCAGACACATGCACAATTGTACATTCATACACAGACACACACACACATGTACACACACCACCCATAAAAAGTTGTAGTACTTCGTTGTTCACTCACAGATCCTGGTACTGCACTCTAGGGGGAGGCAGAGAGCACAGCACACACTCCTTGCTTTGCTTTCATTGCGCTCAGCTATTGAGCAGTCTGACCGCCCCCAGTGCCAATGACAGATCCGGCCTGAGCTCCGAGCCTGCTCACAAGAGGGTCCTGGTGGACACACTCGCCCCCACCATAATTTCCACTCGCCATTGGCGAGCAGGCGAGTGGAAATTTCAAGCCATGGATTAAATATATAGAATAGTATATTTTAGCTACCATCTAGAACAGTGTTTCTTAACTTTTTTTCAGTCAAAGCACCCTTTAAAAGTTATGGACAGCCCCGAGGCATGCTTTAAAATTATGGACAGTCTTGAGGCACCCCATTTTAAAATGTGAAAAATTATTCTAATAGTTTTATATAACACAGCAACATCCACATAAGTAGGACACCCAACATTAGAGGGGATTTATTCTTCCAAAGCAAATACACTTTTGCACACTGGTACTGAGGAATATTCCAGTGTTTCTCTTCTCCCTCAGTTTTTCTCCATCACTGAGCTGATGTGACCCCAGTGCTAATGGAGATGGTCAGGGGAGGGTCAAACTAGGATGCTGTGCAGGCAGCTGACATCTTATGATGTCATTTGTCAGGATGCCAGCGGCTAGAAGGTCGTAATGGTGCACAATGAAAACCTGTGGCTTTATGTAACAAAAAGGCAGGGTTGTTCCACATGCTGGCTTGTATACAAATTTTGGGCAATTTTTAGACATTTTACCAAGGCACCCCTGAAGGAACCTCAAGGCACCCTGGCTGAGAAAGGCTGATCTAGAACACAGAAGCTGGACTTCCTCTATTGAAATGCTAAATAACTTGTTCAACTATTTAATGAAGGCTATTAAAACAGTAAGTGGCAATGACAGGAAATGGGGGGGGGGGGCAGAAATGAGATAACAGAGCTATGTGCTGTACACAACGAGGGAGTCTGGAAGAAAAACTGGGTAGAAGGAAGAGGCCCCATAAGAAGAAGATCTCAGTAGAAGGGAAGTCTGTGGATTTCACAAAACCAGTGAAGGAACTTCACCTGGGGCACCCATTTTCCTGCAATCACTTGAGTCCTACTTGTTATGGGTATCACAAACTATAACCCAAGCTAAGTAACTTTTTAGTGTTTAGTCTATCACATGCAGAACTGGGTAGAAGGAAGAGGCCCTGTGTAGAAGGGAAGTCTGTGACAGAGGGGACTTCACAAGACTACAGAAGGAACTTCACCTGGGGATGACACTAAATCCACACTTTGAGAGCACCCAGTTTCCTGCAGTCACTTGAGTCTTGTTTGTTATGGAGACCACAAACTATAACCCAAGCTATGTAACTTTTTATTGTATCCCTATCACATATAGACCTCTGTCAATGCTTATAGTGCCTTGAAAAAGTATTCATACCCCTTGAAATATTTCACATTTTCTCATGTTACAACCAAAATCGTAAAGGCATTTTATTGGGATTTTATGTGATAGACAATCACAAAGTGGCACATAATTGTTAAGTGGAAGGAAAATGATAAGTGGCTTTCAACATGTTTTACAAATAAATATGTGTAAAGTGTGGCATGCATTTGTATTCATCCCCATTTACTCTGATACCCCTAACTAAAATCTAGTGGAACCAATTGCCTTCAGAAGTCACCTAATTAGTAAATACTTGTCCACCTGTGTGTAATTTAATCTCAGTATGAATGCAGCTGTTCTGTGAAGCCCTCAGAGATTTGTTAGAGAACATTAGTCAACAAACAGCATCATGAAGGCCAAGGAACACACCAGACAGGCTGGGATAAAGTTGTGGAGAAATTTATAGCAGAGTTAGGTTATCACAATATATCCCAAGATCTGTTGTTGCTGCTGGGGGTCTATAATTACTGGCGTGGTATTTTGTTGTGGAGGGTCCATTGTTGCTGGGGGGGGGTCTATTGTATGGGGGATTAATTGTTGTTTGATGCAGGGGATCTACTGTATTTTATTGCTTCTCTTGTTATCATTAATACATTACATACAAATGACTTAGCACCACAAAATTATATTTGGTTCTGTATTCTCTAAAAGGGGCTGTCCTGGGAGGTGGATAGGAGGTAAAACCAAGGGACAGTGCTTGGAGGTGGGTAGGGGGTGGAGACAAGGGGTGACTCAAAAGGTGGAGAGTTCCTGCACCTATTCTCTGATAAAAAAAAAGCCCTGTATATTGCCCCTTGAAGATGAGTGTACAAATGAAGTGAGCATTTTTCCATGGAGCCAGGAGGAGTCGATCGCATGATTTATGTGATAGCCTGTGATTGTCTATCACAGTGATTTGTAAGAATATATTTATTTAGCTATTATTACACTTGGTTACAAGTGTCACAGGAAAGTCTTGATATAGAAACACATTTACAGGAATATTCCTTGTCATATAGGGAATTTATTACATTTATATTAATGAGAATATACTGGGACTCCAGTGTGAGAATATGAGAATATACCCATACTAGACCCCATGATCCCCCAAGCATTACAATATTTTTGTAGGGGTTTAAGGTCCCCAACTTTTAAAAGCCATAGGGATTACATGATTTTGGAGGGTGGACCTGTATATTTAGTATGGTCTAAATTTTAAGGCACTACCAAGCAGTGACAGAGGTATCAGTGGTCATACTTCTTCTGCACCCTCATCATATTGTGGCTGTTTCTCTTCTCTCCCTGCTATCACCACCTCTGAGGGAAGCGGGGAGGGAGACATTTTACATAAATGGCTAGTGAGGTACTTACATCACAACCTATTAAACTGGCCATTTGTATTGACTTCACTGGCTGCTTCTCACTGAGCTATGATAAATGAACAGCATCTCCACTCCTCGTTTCAACACCTAAAGCTGACCATAGATGGATTGAAACTTAGCAGGGACCAGCTGAATTTCAATCCATGTGTAGCTGTTCCTGTTACACATAAGTCAATTGTAGAATCAACTTTTTTCGACTGGGAATCTTTGAAAACTTTTGTCAATCAGCAGCTGCACTCATTTGGTGCAGCCAATCAGTGTATTCTGACAGTGGAGAGTCTTGTTGTCAAAATACAGTGTTGTGGCAGGAGAGATTTGCTCCATCCTGGCTGAATGAAAAAAAAAAGTAACAAACCATCTATGGCCAGCTTTAGTCATTGCAAAGATATTTACAGTTTTATTAAGACATTCTAACATTGCAAAACTGGTTTAAGGCATTGAGATCTGATTTTCCTTCATCGTTAAGGGGTTAACCTGACTATTTTTTGTTTTACTTTTTTATTTTTTGTAGTCTGGACCATAAAGAACAACTAAAGAACAAATATACTACATGAAAACACTACAAATTCATTTTAAGAATTATTACATGAATCAGACATATGCAATGACATGTCTCCAGTTCTCCCGATGCTCTCCCAAACAGTTGATGGCCCTACAGTTGTCAGTAAATATAACAATGTCCAAAATAAATAGAAGCTGTGGTGGTTTTAGCTTAATTGCTACAGCACAGCCTGGAAATTCTACCTGTTCTTTTATTCAGTGAAGTTTGTCTACAAGGTGACCAGAGATGAGCAATCAATATTCTGTTATGGAAAAAAAAACCCAAACAGAGAATCATCTGAAAAGTGGTAAATTAAAGAAACATTAAGAACTCAGTTTTTGCATTACTTTGATTAAAAGCGAAATGCTGTGCCAAATGAAGCTAATCAGCCGTTTCTGCTCTAGGACTTACAACGATTCTGCCAGCTGTTGGCAATAACTGTGTTCAATAGACAAGACAACGAATCATATTTTGTCATGCTGCTTCTATTGATAAATGTTGAATTAAGATCCTAATATGAGACAATTTAATTATGAAGACATTTTTATTTAGAGGCAAATAAAATGTTCACCACTCCTCAACAGTTGTATTTGCAGATTACAAAGTAAGTGTTTCAAGGGATTTAAAAATGATTCATATGCGGCTGTGCACTATGGGTTGTAGACTTTTCATTCTTGGTCTGCATGAAACAAAAACATTAAAAAAGAGTTACCTATGCAGTGGTGGAAGAAGTCTATTGAAACAAAAACAGGCATACTACAAATGTTCTTAAACATGAGAAATAAATTAAGAGGCAACTAAAATAATGAATTGCATAAAGAAATCTTTGTACATAGGAAGTATGGAGGTTGCTATTGATTTCTCCTGAAAATACTAGTTACCTGACTGTCATGCTTTTCCAGTGGTTTGTTTACTTTCTAACTAAGTAACTTGGAACAAGTATAACCCTTTGGTGTCCAAATGTCATTGATGCTTAGGTGAAATTTAGCAGTGTCAGCATTAGTTGTTAAAGTGGAACTTTACTCAAAAGAGGAAGTTCTGCTTTTCATCCTCCTTCCCCCTCCTCTCCCATATTTGGAATGTTGGGAGTGGATACCTGATTTTGATAAGTACCCGTCACTACTTCCGCGCTGACTGCCTAGGCCAGTGGTGGGCAACCTTTTTTTTCAGCTGAGCCAAATCTCGCCAAAACCACGATTGAAATTTATTTTTAGAGCCACATTTTTAAAACTGAAAATACATCCCCCATATAGTAATTCATCCCCCATAGTAATTCATCCCCCATAGTAATTCATCCCCCATATAGTAATTCATCCCCCATATAATTAATTCCCCCATCCCCCATATAGTAATTCATCCCCCCATAGTAATTCATCCCCCATATAGTAATTCATCCCCCATATAGTAATTCATCCCCCATAGTAATTCATCCCCCATATAGTAATTCATCCCCCATAGTAATTCATCCCCCATATAGTAATTCTCATCCCCCATATAGTAATTCATCCCCCATATAGTAATTCATCCCCCATAGAGTAATTCATCCCCCATCCCCCATAGTAATTCATCCCCCATATAGTAATTCATCCCCCATATAGTAATTCATCCCCCATAGAGTAATTCATCCCCCATAGTAATTCATCCCCCCCATAGAGTAATTCATCCCCCATAGTAATTCATCCCCCATATAGTAATTCATCATCCCCCATAGTAATTCATCCCCCACATAGTAATTCATCCCCCATAGAGTAATTCATCCCCCATAGTAATTCATCCCCCATAGTAATTCATATAGTAATTCATCCCCCATAGTAATTCATCCCCCATAGTAATTCATCCCCCATAGTAATTCATCCCCCATATAGTAATTCATCCCCCCTATAGTAATTCATTCCCCA